ATATCTATTGATGTAGGACACTTCAGGGGGTGAAATAAAGATGGGAATCTACTCATATATGCTAATAAATATGTTCTGAATGTCCTGGAACACCCCCCTATCAAAGGGGCAAAAATGCGAAAATGTTCTGTACCCTACCCTGTTTGAAAAAGGCCCTGGAGGATGAGCAGGCACACAAATTGACAAAAAAAGCGGTTTATTAGATAATATTATACATGTATATACCAAACTACTACTTAGATACAAGGGAGGACCTACTGTGGTGTAGTGGTGAAGCTGCAGTGAGGTGGGGAGGGTGTGGGAATAATTATAATTATGTGGTATACCATATTGGGATGATGTTTTGGGTGTTGTGGGGTAATTCCCACAGTAGGTGACTAAAAATGCGAAAATGCGGAGTGTGGGAATAATGTGGGGAGGCCTGACATGAGGAGGTGACCAAAACAGGATGTGTTTTGTGAATTTCCGCTTTTGGAGGCCAAAATTGCGGAATAAAACATACCAAAACATCTGACAAATGTGGAAAACACATTTGTGACTGAAAACATAGCTGAGTTTCAAAAATCCAAAAAATGCGGCTGTGAAAGCCAAAACACCCAGCAAAATAGGGCCAGGCAAATGCCATGGATTAGGTCAAGTTGTGCTGCTGGTAATTGCCATCAAAAGTGTCTATGGTAAAAATGGTAGTTGCCATAATATGTAGGTCTAATACTACAACTACGGCTGCGTCTACGGCTTCACGTTGACGCACGAGGTAACGCACTCGCCGTTCATCGAGTAGTCGTACCTTTTCAATCCATTTGCGTAGATCTGTTTCGGTAATGTTTTCTGCGTGGTAGTCCGCAGCGAGTTCGGTATTCATGTGCGATTCTAAGTGATAGCGAATGTTGATCTCCTTCAGATGGGATGTTGTTCCACGTAACAAGGTGTTCTGGCTTTGGATATCCACCGCCCACTCGTTGAAGGGTCTTTGTCCTTGTGTGGAAGCTAACATTTTGCGCCGGACAACATCTGACCATCCTGAAGGAAGCCAATAGTCGCGTACTTCGGTCATATAGTCTGTGAAGGTGAGCTTGTCAATACGCTCGCGATCATTGATATACCAGTCTTGGATGACCGCTTCTTGCATCCCCCAAGCGACTTTCTTGACCATATCCTCATCTTTCACTCCCTTGTGGAGGAAGAACTGAGTACAACCCATTTCCCATGAGCGCAGGGCCTCCGGAGTTAACTCGCCCGACGTAAGAAAGGGAGGTTTACTTGGGGACGACTGTTCTACGCGTGCAAGTTTTGAAGTGGTTGACATATTGGGTGTGCTCGAAACGTGGTGGTCGGTTGAGTCCGAATCAGTGGATATATGCGTGCTGATCCGTGAGTGGGAACGAGAAGATGATATGATCGGGTTGATCGGTTGAATTAAGGTGGGTGCGATGGTGTAAGCATACTGCTTACCCGCATGTGATTAACGCGTCATACACGTGATCCGCGTGATCCGCTGTTGATTGGACACCGCGTTATGATTACATATGTTTGGCTATTAACATGGATCCGTATATATATCCTACTACTGATGTACTGATACCTCACCTCTTACCGTACCTCGAATCCCACACGCTCTTCCACGTTACTGCTTCCTGACTGCCCGCCAGTGTTCTCTGTCTACTGTGACAGGGTTCCACTTTGGTCACTACCCAGCGATCTTATGTTTTGTAGAAAGGGGGGGGGGGGGACGGTTGCAGTCAATTGGTATGACAATAGTCGATACCTAATGGTGGTTCTGATACAGATAAGATTCGGCGGTTTAACGGTTTGTTATCATTCAACGCTCAGCTGAACGTTAAAAAAAAGTGGAACCCTGTCACAGTAGACAGAGAACACTGGCGGGCAGTCAGGAAGCAGTAATGTGGAAGAGCGTGTGGGATTCGAGGTACGGTAAGAGGTGAGGTATCAGTACATCAGTAGTAGGATATATACGGATCCATGTTAATAGCCAAACATATGTAATCATAACGCGGTGTCCAATCAACAGCGGATCACGCGGATCACGTGTATGACGCGTTACTCACATGCGGGTAAGCAGTATGCTTACAGTTTATCCGATATTCATGCAGGATGATGATATTCGATATGTACGATAGCATATACATGACGTCCCACAACGACTATGGTCAATGATTATGTCAGGGGGAGATACAGTTCAAACGTAACACAATCATCATTTTCCATTCAAATTCGATGCAAAGCTCCAAGTCATGATGAGATATAATAGCTACTGCCAACGTGCTTCTAACATTGCCAGCTACCTGGCGATGTAACAAAGAGCATGTATCTCGTAATACCCTCACCATGGTGCGAGCTAATGGAAGCATGCTCTATACTGGATGTCAACAGCTATAGTGTGGACGAAGACAATCAAGATACATCCCCGATATCAGCTTGAGACAGCCATATCGACTCGGACGATCCACGTGTCACTTTGTTTATCACGACTGGGTCAAAAGCATGAAAATATAAGTATACCCCCTGGCTTGTATTGATATTAAAATTCGCGGCAGCACTTGGTTGCGCCACACTTCCAGCGGGGCTAGCGCATGGGAAGTACCGAGGAGCTGTTGTGGTCTGTTGTCCAAAGGCTTCCAGGAATTCCCTTATTCGGAAGCTTCCTTTGTACTTCGTAAGCTTGGCAAGCAGACTCAGACCCATCGAAAGAAGATAGTCAGTCGAGATACCGGTCTTCGGAGTCATTCGATGATCTAGATTCAATATGCTGTAGTTTGCAGTCGAAACAGTCGAGATTCGGGCGGTCCGCATTCTAAACCGTATTTGATGTCTGAAATTGCAAAATTGAACATGGCACCTAAAGTCCTAGACCCTGCCGACGTCGGGTACGGTAAGTCCTCCGACCACCAACGCACTAATCCTTTCCTCCATACCATAGCTCAAGCGCACCGACTGCTCAGCACTCCAATATGTCGAATGCATTGGTGTCATCGAGACAGCCTGCGCTTTGCAGACCACATCATTAAGAGGGAGAAATCACTGTTATGTTGGCTCATGCGCGTCGATGAATGATTGCTCACAATAATTACAATAGCCACCCTCGTAGACGAATTGAAGGACTAGTGCGATGCGGATCGACGACGAACGAGATAAAATCCACAGCATCCAATCAGATATGGTTCTGCTGATTCGGAAGCAGAACTTTGCCCCTGAGCAGTTTGTGGCGGTCGTCCCACTGCAGCTTGTCCTTCCTGCGTTGAGGTATCGGCATTGTTGCCGCTCGTGCGTTGCATAGCTGCAGCTGCTTCTGCATCAGTCTCAGGGACAATGCCATATCTCTGAAAAATTATTTGTATCACCGAGGGGAGATCACTGGTTATGACCAGGGACTTACATCTTCATCACGGCAAGGTGCAACATCGACGGGACGCCTGGATATTCTCACGGGAAATGAGCTGGAATTCAATTGCCGGGGCTGAAGCTGAATTGACTGTCGTGGCACATTTGCAGGTCGAGTGCTAGAGCGCAGGAAGCCGAACAAATTGCGCGGACCAGGGGGAGATGATGTTTCTGCTGAGTGACAAGTCGTGCGGTTTGTGTCATCGCCGAAGAAGTCATTGCCCTGAAGAGGTATCAGGATAGCAATAGCTCAGGGATAATGGCACTGGATTCACATATCTTGCCAAGCCTCTATTGTTGCGTTGGTGTCTAGGCGCGAGAGAAATCTGATGAGATAAATGAGCGGAGGACTAGGTTATTAGGAATTAAGTAGCTCACGTCTCTAGGTGCTACAAGTCCCTTCAGTTGGAAGAAGTGAGATGAGGTATGAAAGAGAAGAAAGATGACTCGCCTTCAACTTTGCGTTAGGCTCCGAATCGCCCTGACACAGAAACGAGACCACTTAGAAAAGAGCGTGAGGAAAGAAATGTACACACGCACGTCAACCCCATGAGCATGCTTGAGTACTGCTTCCAGACTCCATACATAGATGTTTGCATTGAGTCCAACGATAGCACTGGCAAAGTATTGTCCATCAGAGGACATGGCAATGCTCCATACATAATCGTCGTGCCAGAGTGGGTCTCCAAGTTGCTTATTTGTTTTGAGGTCCCAGATGCGAACCGAGTAGTCCATTGACGCGCTGACAAGATGGCATCCATCGGGAGACAGACAAATCGATCTAACAACCTGGCTATGACCCTGAAAAACGACCAGTTCTTTCCCGTCAATTGATTGCCATTTTCGGATGGTGTGATCAAATGAGGCAGAGAAGATGTATGCGCCATCCTTGGACCAACATAACGATGACACCCAGCCCCAATGTCCCTTTATCTCGATCAGCAGCTTGCCGACCTTTGACCCACCTGTGACTCCCACACAGGTATTCTAATAAGAGGTGATAGATCCGGGCTTCCGCGCCTCTAAGCCGAGGGGGTTATAGTAAAACCAGGCTATGTTCAATACTGGTGCAATATCTCTACCTGGGACTTGTAAGAATTGCCCTGTAGTTAAGCGCGTGACAGCTCGGGAACACCCGCCGTATCTATTAATAATGCTACCGCCCATCGGCAACAATAAGCGTGCATACGAGCTCGCTGTGCCCGACGACGAGCAGCCCGTTCTCACTCATTTCTCAACTGTTTGACAGCGCGTTTTTTGCGATGGGTTTCTTATACGTATTAGAGGCGAAATAGATCATTTGCGCATCAATTATTCATTGTGACAGGTTCAGGAAAGGTCTGAAAACTATAACATTGAGCCAACACTAAGACACTTGCTATATACTTGCTAATCCTCTTCATCACTGTCACTAGACGGGCTCTCATCACTGTCCTCGATGATTTCACGGCTCTTAGGCTGCCTTTGCGATGCCCGTGTCTGCTCCCTGGACTTTTTGGATGGACGTCTATTTTCTTTGTTCCCTCCGGCGGCATTCTTGCGTTTGCGTGATGTGCCTGCGTCCGAACGTTTCTTGCGAGGTTTTCCGATGACTTCACCTGCTATTTCCCGACGCTCCACATCCGCCTTGTACTTTCGAGCTCAGACCGTGACATGGTCCTCCATGCACAGGCGCCTGCTTTTAGTGCATCGCGGAGTGCTCGCATGTCGGAGACGGTGTGGATATTCCAAGGGGATGTAAATGGGATGGTCGTAGGCCAGCCTTCCAAGATGACGCTGTAGGACAACACTATGGCCTTCGTATAGTTGGGGTAGTTCATGATGATGTTCGTCTTGTTTGTCACCCGTCCTGTTGCTACGAGTGAGGCGCAGAAGAGCAACAATGGGTAAGGTACATACGTAGACCAGCGAGAACGAGTCTTGCAGCTTGCTTTTGCATGTTCTCAAGACTGTCGCGTTCCACGATATCTTGTGAATCAAAAATCAGTATAGTAAGATGTAGAGCGCTGTTTTCGGTACTCACTTTTGCCTTGACTGCACGCCCACTGCTCAAATTTACGTGCAACATCATCAAGCACGAGATTCAGGGCGTCTTCCCAGAAATCTGAAGCATTGTCCGTTGCATACCAAGTGGCCGGTGTCTGGTCGTTAACGTGCCCACCTGCGATGACGAATGTTGCGTATGTCCCACAGCGGTCGCGCAATCCATCGAGCTGAGAACCATGAGTAAGCGTAAAAATGACACAATTCAAACACCTACCTCCTCTTTGATTTTTTCCGTGGTAGCTACCACATCACGTGCGGCCGCTATGTTGTTTGCACGTGAGCCACTCGTTTTGAGGTTCCTATATTCTACAAGGTCAGTTATGTAGGTATTTTTCTCATCCCGCGTCAGCATATGTGGGTGCAGCGTGGGGTCGTCTTCAACAAGTTTGCGAACTTCCTTGAGGGTGTACTTGCTTCCAGTTGGTAGATCTATTAGATAAGAAATAGTGAGAAGGCAGAAAACTTGGAATGAATGTAGTGACGGACCTGCGTTGACTTCTTTCGCCTTGGCGTGAACAAGCGCATTCATGAGTTGAGGTGCTCGCGTTTTCTTGTAATGTGTGTGAAAGTTCACCAAGTTCTTGACGTGGTCCTGGGTTACATTGTGCAACCTCGCGATCTCTCCGATCTTCTTTGATTGCTCTGTGACAAACTCAGCAATGCCATCATGGAGGGCTTTCTGACTTTGCTTGCGTTGTGCTGCCTTGAGAGCACGTGATGCCTTCTCTGCGTCTGTCAGTGGGGCACCCTTGGCTCGTGTGGGAATGACTGGCCGGCCAGGATTGCGTGCCGACCAGCACGAGTTGTCGCCTTTGTCATGGAGGTGAGCCTCCATTGAGCTGTTGTTGGCTGAGTCGTTGGATGAAGCATTGGGCGAGTTGTCGTTGCCAGTGGGCACAACTGAAGGGGAACACGGAGAGTGCGACTCGCCATCCGGGGAAGATGCGGGCAAACAATGAACATGCGCACCACCTTGATGAGATCCCGTGGCGGTATGATCTAGTGAGTCATTGGCCAAGCCGTTGTTGCTGGTGGGCACAGCTGATGGGGAACATGGAGAGTGCGACTCGCCATCCAGAGACGATGCAGGCAAAGACAGAACGTGCGCGCCACCAACAGAAGGTTGATGGGATTCTGTGGCGGTAAGATCTAGCGAGTCGGATGATGGAATTGGGGTGTGTGAGTGTTGTTGATATGGATCCGGATACATGGCCCAACTTGAAGAGGTATCACTCCAGTCGTTCAAGCGCAAGGAGTGGTTGAACGGAAATGATTCAGACTCGACACTATCTGTGAGATGGTTAGCAGAGTGAACATCCCAAGGGTAAATGTTTCCGCTATTGAGTCCAGGGGGAAAGGGCATCATATTTGCCATGTGGAAAGGCGGGAGCATGGTATCGTACATCGACGGCTGAATGTCTTTAAAAAATGAGCAATGTGAGGGTGAAACCATCAAAAAATTTCCTACCTGAAGATGCAACGAGCGCATTCGGATCCATAGTGTCACTGTTGCAGGGTTCCCGGGCATACATCGTGTATCTTGCTTGCGGTACTAGCTTGTTGTCAGTCAACCTGCGCGTGTCACGCTGATCAACAAACGACGTGTTTCGCGCGTCCTAGGCTATATTTCACCAATTAATTTTCAAATATTTTGTGAAGGAGACTTACCATTTTTTGGCAGATGTCATCTGCTACAAGATCACGTGCTACCGTACAGTGATAAACCGTGGGGGGCAATGACAAGGCAAAGTCGAAATGTAGGGCCGACGCCGACAATGCAAAGTCAAAACGTATTGCCAACACTGACAATGCAAAGTCAAAACGGCAATATAAGAACCTGGAGAACCAAGAGTTGGACAAGCAGGGATCTTCAAAATAAATGTGAAGGTGAGTACTTACTTGATATCCGCTCTAAGATCACGTGCTACTGTACAGTGATAACACATGGCCGACACCGACAATGCAAAGTCAAAATGTATGGTTGACACCGACAATGCACAGTCAAAATGTGTGGCCGACACCGACAATGCAAAGTCCGAACCGCAATCTAAGAGCCTGGAGAAGCAAGAGTTGGTGAAGCAGGGACCTTCAAAATGAAAGTGAAGGTGCTTACCTAAGTTTACCAGTCCACCGCGGTGGAATATTCTTCAAGCCGGGTGTGCTTTCTTGCAGACTTGTAGGGATTTTTGCGGCAGAGAAGTGGTTGTGGTGGCCAAACAACATTGGTGAGCACAACGTTGACACAACGAGGCAGTGAGACGACGTACAATACCTTCCTAAATGGGAAAAGGCACCTTTGCTTCTGCACTGATCAAAAATTAAAGTCTGGACTCACTGAGCACGTGCTCAACTTCGATGATCGGAACTTTCCGAGACGACGCTGTCCCTCAGCACGTGCTCGTTGAACTTTGATGATCGGAAATTTCTGAGACACATTTTCCTTGACAAGTGTTGAGGACGCTATCTCAAATACTCAACTCCCCACCTTGCGCCCTTTTCTGATTAATCAACACACGGAGGCATCTGAAGGACAAGTAGTAGGTACTATTGACTTTCACAGTGTTTGTTCAACTAACAAATTTCTGACCAGCGATCCCAGTGGGGATGGATAAAAGGTTGCAACAACAGGCAGCCACAAAACGGTGGATGTCCAATCCATCGTAAGCATTGTTTTTTCTCTTAGAGGAACCATTTTTCTCACCATCATGCCTTTCACAGTGTTCGTTCAACTCAGAATGAGAAAGCGCGGATCCGCATGGCAAAGTAAGTTGTTTCTTGTGCGGAATTTCTCACTTCTGACAATTTCCAACAGAATTCGTGCTGGGTATGTTGGTTTGATTGCGAACAATTACAAGAGCTGACTATTGTTCCAGCAGGAAGGCTACCGGCGGCGATACACTGCCATCTAGTGACGAACGACACGATGCTTCATCAGACGACGATGCCACATATCTCCCGCGCACTGGTAAGATCAAACTTCAGAACATTCAAGACCTTCAAGTATCGATCTGCGAGTGGCAATACGATTGGGGACCTGCAAATATCTGGGAAAAGACATTCAACGAGAAACTTCGGCTGGCACAAGATCGAGGAAACTGCGCAGTCAGCCGCTTCTTTGACCAATGCGAGCAACACACGTCGGATGGACGAGCTTTACTGGCTGACTTGAAGCGCGTCGCCTACGCTCCATGCAGCAATGGTAAACAGGCCAGGGATAGGTGTATTCACATATATAATCTTGTGTTTGACGTCTTGTCAGAAGTCAAATTTTTTGAAGTCAAACTTGATGAGTATGCGCCTGCTGTTCCATTATCTAGACTATCTTCTACACGGTACTATGAGCATGCATGATTTACGATACATCCTTTGCGTAATATAAATTTTGTCTTTGTGCACAATTTTTGGGTGTGACAAGAGCTCTCTTGAGAGTCTGCACTCGCATAGCGCCATTCAGTGCACAATGTACGACTTGCATCACACCATTCAGTGCGCAAATTATGGGCATGGTGAGATCAATTGACAATTGAGAGTCTGCCCTACTATAGCGAACATAGCGAACGGCATGGTGAACGTGTTCGCTATCGCAACATAACACCCTCGGATTCAACTACGGGATATGATTACAATCTGAAAGTACCGCAGGATCATTATAATAGTTGTTTACACTACTTCCAACCATGACCGAGGCAATAAAATGAATTGTGTAGTGAACTTGCTGCATGTTCATGTTACACGGCTTAGTTTGCTCGAGTTACGCTCAGTTCCAACTTGGGAGATGTGTTCGAGTAATGCATACAAAACGTGCACTATGTAGCTTCGAATTCTCAACACAATTACTGTACTTCCATAAATCTTATTTCACTAGAACTGAACTCATATGCGCTTTGAATAGAAATGCAGAAGCCCCCCTTGAGGATACATATTGATCATGCTAGATATACATTGTGTCATAGTCTACTACAGTACTCATGCGCTAGCCAGTCAATCCATCAGGGCACATCGGGCGTGCAACAATACATATCCTGTAAGAGTCTCTGTGGTCAGTCTGAGGATGGGTACAGCAAATTCAATATACAAACCGTTAACGCTTGCGCAGTTCTTGGGATGGATCATCGAAATAAGACCAGAGCTCATCAGAGTCTGAGGATGATGCGGTAAGTGTCGGACTAGATGTCGGATTGGGAACAGTAGGTGTGGATGCAGCTACAATGGTTTTGGAAGGGCTAGAATGAAAGAAAGGTCCTCCGACTGTAGGTACTGCACGCACAAGGCCTTGGTAGTAGTGCATCGTGTACAGGGCCAGTGCGTCAGACCAGTGGTCATAACGTGCATGAGCAGCACCTCTGATGCCATCAACGCGCACCTTCGCATCAAGCCTTAGTTTTTAAACAGTGAACAAACGTAAAAATTGAGCCGTAGAATACATACCAGTGAAAGAATATGCCGACCTCTTGGCCTATGGTAACTACATAGTATCCTTTTATTTTAACGCCACTCGGAGGATGAAGCTCGTCTGGATGTGGGATGGATGAGTCATATGGCACCGTCGTTATCGGAAGGGTAGAGTCGGCATGCAAAGGCGGCCGACCGTGACACTGTGTTGGAGGGGATATGAATTGTGAACTGCGAGAGGGTTGGATCGAATCAGTGGGAGTTAGAATGGGGGAAGGAGTCGTGGATAGAGGAGGAGGCTGGTCCTTGATTTTGAGAGTGACGGACTCCTCAACGGTCTTCTTCGTATAGGTCACAGAGTCGAAACTACCATCTGATTTCATTGATAAGCATCAAGACAAACGAATCTTGGAGCTCACCTGAAATTTGCATCGCGCGCATAAAGTCCTCTAACCCCCCACTTTTCCTTGTCCTCGACGATCGGGAAGAGCTCATGTTAACGCTAACAGAAAACAAGCTTGGGAGGAAGGTCAGGTAAGATCCTTAATGTCACGTGCGCACACAGACTCACCTGCACGACACGCCTGGAGACTGTTTATTGAGAGAATTCCCAGGCATGGCTATGTCAAAAAGTCGCAATCGAACGGGACTGTCTAGTCGAAAGGTTCGTCAGCTAGGCTCTAAGCGTGATCAGAGTGGTCACCGTGTGGCCACTAACGCAGTGTATGGGCCTAGGGCTCTGTCACAGCGAGCAACAAGCTCGCAGGTCCGCAGAAAAGAACGTCTACAAGGTGCGTATCAATGTCTCAATAGAATCATCATTGACTTACCTCATATTATTAGCGATGACCACAGAACAACACCAGGCCTTGGAAGCCTTGGCCGAGTGGCCAGATGACACAGATGATGTCATGTACGACGCAGGGCAAGACATGTCACCCGACGTCGACGGGATCCTGCGAGGAGAGCGGCGAGTGGACATAGGAATCATCGAGGATCTTGCTCACGAAATCATGGGAGATTTCTGGCAACCGTAAGTCTATTTAAGTTTTTGTCAACTTCGCTTACCTTTGTCGGGGCAGCAGCATTACATCAAAAGGCAACACACGGCGAATCGACCACCGCACACGGCGTGATCGAATACAGCGACGGGTGGATGCATTCAATATGCAGCTACCAGCTATCACAAACGCCTTTCTGGCGTGGAGTCTGGACCATGCGCTAAGTGGGAAGAGGAGCTTTTTTGATCAAAGGTGCGTGCCAGAAGTGGAGGCTAACTCAGGTTTCTGGACAGGTAAAGTCATTGACGTATTCCGTGAGTCGTGTCTTCTTACACTGTGAGAATCTCCACTGACGTCATTTGAATAGTCGCTGAGAACACAACTCTCACAATCAGGACGACGGACACATTTATTGCATCTGCCCTTGTCCGGCATGGTGTCATCCCGTGTTCGCCCATTTCGCCTTCTGTCGCTGTCACTGTTGATGCACTCGAGCTATACCGTGTTGCTCATCTTCGGAACCCTCACTTTTCGATGCAGGCGTTCAGCAAAACGATTTGTGATTTACATGGGGTACGTCGTTCAAACTCTCTCAGATCTCACTAATACTTATTGTTGAATTCATTTGAAGGTCGAGTATCACCGCTACCTTTCACGCCAGCTCACGATCGCATTTGACCTCTACATGCTAATACGCCGTTCTGTAGACACCTTAGTGGCTGAAGCCCTCAATCGTAATTCTCCGGATTGGCGCCTCAAACACGCCTGTCCCTCATGTACCTATACTCTCAAGGATGAGGCACCCCTCACGTTCACTCTGCTATTTGCTATGGACGGCAACGATTCTCTGAAGCGCATCCTTCGGCGCACACTCGGTATAGACGACAATGACATTGGAGAGTCATCTGAACTGCTCACTACACAGCACGTCCAAGGAGATCGCTATCTCTCGCGCGAGTACGTCAATCAGTGGAAGAAAGCAGGCGTTGGTGACTCAGAGGTACGTCTATCAGTTGGCCTCAACAACATTTTTTTTTACTCATTTCCAGGCAACGCTCGATGCAGACTCGCCAGAAAACCCTTGCGCAGCCAGGTGGAACAACATGGACGACGAGAAGACAAAGAGGGCGTGGGGGGTATATGACGAGACAGGAATCTTCACAGCAGTGTGCCGCCACGGCTTCAGCCTCTTACTTGCTGATATGGTGCAGAGTGGGGAGTTGTGAGTCCAAAATTCAGACTGGTACGCTTGTGTGAGTCGCTAACATTCACACTTCTACGACGCAGGGCCAAATATCCCCTCGCTGTTGTCGCGAAGCTAATAGACACCTTTGGTGATGGTCTTGGCGGCGGATACGACATAGGGTGTCAGTTCAGGACAACCCTCGATAACAGCCCTTTAGGTCCCCGCGCACGTTCCTTCCATTATACGTCTCTTGTGGGAGCATTCCATGGGCATGCTCATCGCCGACTTTGCCAGCTCGATCACCTCGCAAGATACGTTCCAGGTCTGGGGCTCGAGGACTTAGAGACGTGCGAACGCACGTTCTCGAAGTCTAATGCTTTAGCACCTACGACACGTTATACAAGCATCTTTCACCGCCAACAAGCTATTGCAAGCTACTTTGAATACAACAATGACTACAAGGTATACGCAAATTTATGTATGTTCTAACTCCTCGCGTCTCTACATTTTCTGACTTAGATTTTTCAGCCGATTTTTTGTACAACAACTACAAACAGGCCCTCAACATCATCAGTGACAGTCACGTCACACTCGCAAAGCTAATGCACGATCTCAACATAACGCACGAGTCCGTCTTCGAGGACTGGCTGACTGAAGAGAAGACTTACCTACAGGGTCTTCGTACTGAGCCCGAGGATGAAACGCTGCAGATGGAGTACTGGCAGAAACTAATTAATCTTAGTGCGAGCAAGTGAGTATTTCGTCTCTCCATGTGAGCTATCTAATTTCTATCGTGTACAGGGATGAGCTTGATGCCTCGAGTTCGGTATGGGCTGTGGCTACACCCGCTACTGCACTCGGCCTCGCATCCGACGAGAGTGCTACAAGGCGGGTTGAAACAGCTCGACGACACGCCCTAGAGAACTACGAGAAGGACCTACGATTTGTGCAAGAGCTCGAACGCAAACTCGGTGTCACATGCCGCTGGACACCAGAGGATCCAGACTGGCAAAGTGCGGGGCGTCTAGTTGCCAACCGCAAGTACCAGCGCGCACTCGACACATTGGAAGGTCTAGTCGTCGCGCGCATATTCGAGCTGACGAAGATGAACAGGTCTGGGACTGGTAAGCGTTTCTGCCCATGTGTTTTACCGGGCTGACAATGTTTCATCTATAGGATATAAAATGCGAAAGCACATTGCGAAGGCCCTGCAAGCACGTTCTGCGGCCATCAGGACAGCACTCGATCGCTACAATACAGCGGCACGTTCATTGTCCCCCCCACGCCAAACTCTCAAATGGGAGGAGGTTGTCGAGTACGCCTTTCTCGCCGACTTCGATCTCCTCCGCGACTCGCGTGATGATGTTTCACAACGTCCCTGGGCATCGCCATCCGCACGTCAAGCAACCGACCTTTATTTCAAGACTTGCCATGCAAGAGAAGAAATCACGCGGCTAAACGTTGAAGTGCGCCGCCTGGCCACATACTTGCGTGACGAGGAGCATTACCTCTGCGAGTGCCAACGACAGGCAGAGGTCCTCCAGCCAGTACTCGCCCACCAAATCAAACTTCGGCGCCAAGTTCGCAGCCGGTTCAACTCACGTCACCTCCAGCGTCTACAGGATATTGCCAATCTGCCAGGATTTTCCGGTACTCTTGCCCCTGGAGTTTGTACCTCCAACGGCGCTGGAGACAGCTCAAGTACACCGAACATTACTATCCCCGCCCAACTGACCCATGCTCTCTCTAGCAGTGGTACCTCCACTAACAACCCATCTACTCACTCCATCAGTGCACCGGAGGCTGAAGAAGATTTTGAAGAGGAGGAGGACGACGTCAGCAATATGGAGGAGGCTTCTGAAGTGTTTGACGAGGTGCTGCGCATTGCTACAGACTCTTAGTTACTGTAGAGCAAGGTCGTGACAGAATGTATTACAGCATGTGTATATAGGACAAATTGACCATCTAAGCTATCTTGTAGCACTCTAATATGTATAAGAAACCCATCGCAAAAAACGCGCTGTCAAACGGTTGAGAAATGAGTGAGAACGGGCTGCTCGTCGTCGAGCACAGCGAGCTCGTATGCACGCTTATTGTTGCCGACAGGCGGTAGCATTATTAATAGATACGGCGGGTGTTCCCGAGCTGTCACGCGCTTAACTATGGAGTAATTCTCACAAGTCCCAGGTAGAGATATTGCACCAGTATTGAACCTAGCCTGGTTTCACTATAACCCCCTCGGCTTAGAGGCGCGGAAGCCCGGATCTATCACCTCTTATTAGAATACCTGTGTGGGAGTCACAGGTGCTTTGACCACACGCGGATTGGCTCATCACCGCCGCTCGCGAATTTGTCGCCTTGTGGAGAGTATTTGACCGTCCGCACAAGTTTATAATTGATATTATCGCCTCTATATCTCTCAGGCTTTATCGGTTGTGCAATTTGCCTGCCAGTGGCCGGGTTCCATCGTCGTATTGTGCCATCCCAAAATCCACCTGCAACTTCCGCCCCATTCGGAGACCAATCAATTGCAAGGCACTCCCGGGCCGCACCCAGTGCGTCATTATTCCCCTCCCACGGGTTACCGACCACGCTCCCCTCCTTTATATTCCACAGCCGTACTCTGCCATCTGAGCTTCCACACACGACCATTGTTTCATCCACAGACGCGGCCATTGCGGTTACTTCGATTCCGTCACCATCCCAAGGCTTTCCTACTGGCTTTCCAGCTCTTGTCCACTGGCGAATTGAACAATCACCTGAGGTACTCATTATATTGCCGCTGGTGCCCAAGCAGGCAAGGCAGTTGTTGTGAAAACGGTTGCCAGATTTGATGGTGCACTCTGGCATCACACTCCCTGCTGTACGTTCTGGTGTTGGCTTCTTCCACGACGTGGTCTGAGTATTGTGGTTGACGAAGTAGGACCGACCGTGCGGTGCAATGTGCCATTCGCATCCACGAAAGAGCTGCCCGGGGAAATCTATGCTCTATCCTGAGTTTCTCCCTCTCATCGCACTTTCTTCGCTCACCTAGTCGCACTCCTGGTAATGGTCTGTCCGATGCATCCATGAAGTGTGCTTCATCGCGATAAAGCTCAGAGCCGGGCACCAACTCTATCCACATAGGAGGGAGCGCCTCATTCCCTCCTGCTCGATGTTGAGTCGATCAATTGGTTTCACAATGTGCTCGCTTACCTTTCCAAAGTGCATCCTGGCGGTGCTGTGCACCATACGCTGGCGGATTCTCAGAGCGCTTCAGGGGAGCAATAGGTGCTGATGGGTCTGACAACAGTCCTTGGTCCGTCTCTCTCCGTTTCGCTGGCGTGCTTGACTCGGCCGTTGTGTTCAGCATGACGACGATTGGGGACGTTAGTGATAGTGAGGTAATGGACAGAGCTTTGTTGCTTAGGTGATAACCTGTGCAGTGAGATATCTATAAAGTAAGGCGCGATGGGTGGGAGCCGTCCTCGCCAGCTCGCGTGGTTTTCGCCTATTTCGCCAAAGGCCACATGGGAGCGCGTAGGTACGCTTAGCTCGCTTAACCTCGATTTGGAAACTCACGTGGTTTTCTCGCGTGGTTTTTTCAAGCGCCGACTCAGTTCCACTTCTTCGTTCATATATGGGCAGCCCTGTGTTTTGCACAATTTATGTAGCTGTGTATATACATGATAATTATTGAAAATTCAAATGTGAAGGTAGTGATGGAGAATCAAATTTTCTGGGGTCAGAAGGAACACTGATAAGAATGGCCAAACATGGAAGTTGGTTTTATATACATGATAGGAAATATTTATTGAAAATGAAATAAATGAGAATGACACAAGATGAGAATGGGAGGAAGGAGATGGGAGAACAGGAGAGTGAGAGTAATGGGAGAACAGGCAGAGCAAGAATGGGAGAGAACAAAGAGAGAAGGGGAGAGTGAGAGGAATGGAGAATGTAGAGCAAGAGACAACAAAGGAACAGGAGGACTGGAGAACTGGAGAACTGGAGAACTGGAGAACTGGAGAACAGGAGAGAACGGAGAACAGGAGAGAGAACAGGAGAAGGGAGAAAGACAACTGGAAAACTTGGAGAATGGAAAAAGAAACAATGGAACAATGGAGAAAATGGGAGGAGAACAAGAGGAACTGCAAAACTGCCAAAATGGGGAAACAAGTGTACTTGTCCCGAGGAGCAATCGACGTGAGTGAGAAAAGCTCCGAGACCAAAATATGGTATAAGGCATTTTTATACCTTTTTGAGAAGGGGGATGACGGGAGAAGGGACAGGAGAGAAGGGAGAAGGAGAAGGGAGACGGGAGACGGGAGCGAGACGGGAGACGGGAGACGGGAGAAGGGAGTAGGGAGAAGAGGAGACGGCGAGGAGACGGGAGACGGGGAGACGGGAGAAGGGGAGACGGGAGACG